TTCATTTAATAATAACGAAAATAATTAATTTTTGTTGTTTTATTTTATTTTATCTCACATACAAATTTTTTGAAAATATATATTAGGAAATATGTGCAATGATTTAACTTTTTGAGCTCCTAATCTATATTATTCAACCCTCATTAAGCCATCCACGTATGCACCCGCGTGGAATTCACTTTTTTTTTTGTTTTTTTTTGTCTGTTCGTTTTTGGATTTATTTTTTATTATTTTTGGGTTGAGCTATATTATAATAGGATAGTTTTAACTGCGTAGGCAACCACGTGAGACTTGTTTTTTTTTATTTTTTGTTTTATTATTCGTTTTGGATTCATTTTTAACTATTTTGGGTTTGAACTTATTAAGGTTTAGGGTTTATACAACTATTTTGATTTTTAAAACAATAAGCCCAAAAAAACATAAGAACCTTATAAGCAAAAAGCCCATATGATAATAACCTAAATAAAAAAAAAATCAAAAATACATGATAGCTGCGTGGTTTGAACCCACAATCTTGTATACTTAATTAGACACTTTATACCACTTGGCTAACGAGTATTTCATTGTTTGTAACCATCTTACCAAGACTATGTGTCTTTAAAAAATACTTTTATGATGATGACATTAATTGGTTTATGCATGAGAGCAGTGGGAATTGAACCCATGTCCTTGGAGACCAAACATGGGGTCTTAGACCACTTGACTAAACTGATATTCTTTGTTTATAGCTATTTTAAAACAATTATCTATTTTAATATAAAAATGTGAGATCCACAATCTGCCTATGTGGACACCTTAAGGAGCCTTTAAACTGAATCATTATAATATAGACTAGTGGCATTGTCCCCGCGCAAGCGCGGGGTCGTGGACTATAGTTGTTACTCTATCTAAATATGTAGAAGAAGTGATGCCATGTTTGCTGTGGTTTTTTATTTTCATAGATTTGTGTTGTAATACGATTGAGGTGAGATGATGCACTGTAGTACTTTTTGTGTTTGGTGGTTCCCTATCTAATCATAGGGAATTTTGTGTTAAATTTCTGTTTGTAGCACAACTACCACTATCACAATGTACATGTTTTGTTAGAGTCAGAATTTTTTTTTTTAGTAATGTTCTTAGTGGAAAGATTTTTATATGCAAAGATGGAGATCTTAATGGCTGGCTTTATTTGCTCTAGTTGGTATCCAACGTTTATCTCCGCATGTTCTACATTTACTCAATTTGTATACGTGATCTGGAATTCTCCGTAAGAAGATGTAGCAACTTTACAAACACTCAAGGTTATATCTAACAGCTTAAGATTGCGAGTTTTATCTAAGAAGATAGCATACCTTCCAGGAATTTACAAACATGCCTCCGAACCTCTATGTATGTACGTACAACGAATTCTTTATGTAGAGAAGGAAACGAACAACACTCATTCTCTCTTCTGTACATAAATTTTATAAATTATAAAAAGTGACCAAAATGAGATTAAAAACCGAACAAATCTCTGTCTCCTCTCACTCTGTCTCATCTACATGAAGTAACTCAAGGACGTCTTCTTCCTTGACCCTCCTTCCCCATACAGCTCATTCCATTGCTGAAGCTCGTTCATGTTTAATCTCTGTCGACACACTCTCACACATACCTTTATATATACATGTATTTCAGATCATCAAGTCTCATTTGAGATCTTACATAAAACACAATGCCAAACCAATTTGAGTTTTTTACACTATCTGTTCATCGGGAGCCTTGAAATAAGCCATTGTCATTGGACGAATGTCTGTGCAGCTATACAACAGAGGCATTTGACGGTTTCAGCCTCAGCTGCAGTTTTTTCCTGGAGCCAAAACAAAAATATTATAAAAAAGAATTAAAAATGGAAACCAAACCTTCTTTTCTTTCTCGAGTACATGATGTAGCTATCATGGCACTGAAAAGCAAACACACGTTAATTACTTTATGGATCACTAAGAAACAATTTGAAATCAATGATTCACCTGGCAAAATAAGCTCCCCAAGATCATTGACACGTTCTTCTAAAAAAGTTGTTGTCAACAATGCTTTCAAAGCCTAAGAAAAATATCAGTTTAATCATAAAGACAAAACATATCACTTCTTCTTCAACAACAACAAAAAGATTTTGATTATATATTAACACTTAGATTAAACACACCTAGACACGGAAGTTCTCATAAATGGGATGTTTAGTAGGTGCTATTATGTGGTAAGTACTTTTCCTATTGATGGTTGTGACAGAATCACCATGATCACCACACTTTTCCATGAATTCTTCTCATGAGATAACCTGTGGGATCTTACTTGCGTATAAAGCTTGAAATCTGCAACAACAAAAAAAAAACATAGAAGAAAGTTAGACATAAATGATATGGATAAGCAAAAAAAAAAGGCCAGAGACTGAAAACCAAAGAGGGCTTGAGATAACTCTTACCTTAAGCTAAAGAGGACGGGTTTTTCTGGATTGGCTCTGGTGCTGCGGTTTTTACAGGAACTGGATTTGGGGAAGTGGAAACGATCCCTTTTTGAGTATAGGCACTCTTGTTATTGTTCAATTCAGATGTGAAGCTTTAGCACTTCCTTTTTGAGGCAAGTCAATGACTTGTTTGGCTTTGTCAGCAGGAAAATCATCAAAAACCATAACTTGACCATCGTAGAATATGGTCAAGGGAGAAGAAGACTGAGACTCCACCTTCACAGATCTGTTCAAGATTAAAAACACAAAGGTTAGTCCAAAACTGATGGAAATCTATTTATTAGTATATTATCCGATAAGAAAACATACTTGGTCTGTTTGATTTTCTCGACTTCTTCCTTGGCTCCAGAGAAAGAGGAAGAAGAAAAGCTTGATTCCAGAGGAAACACATCACTCTTGGTTTAACGTCTTGAGCAGCCAAAGAATCTTCAATAGGGAACAGATTCATCATCGTGGGCTGACGTGTCACACCAAAAACTCCTGCAATCCTAAGTGACATATTTGAATAATCTAAGAATCGATGCTCTGTTGTAAAAGCTTTTGAAGATTGGAAGAGGAGAAGAAAGGATGAATGGAGAAGAACTGAAAAGGCTTGAAAGAAAGAGTTACGTGATATTATTAAAAGCCTCTACTGATGAAGAAGATAACAAATGTTTCATTTTTCAAATTAGGGAAGACGAAGAGATCAAAGTAGATGTAAATCTAGAGATATTTGTTTCTGACACTGAAGTCCACCGACTGAAAAAAAAAATGGGTCCAACCTATGGGATTCGAACACAGGCCCTTGCGGACCAAAGCTTTAATCAAGCACCTTAGACCAATAGGATAAACCATCATTTGTTGTTTATAGTACTCGAGTCAAATCTTTATACTACTTTGTTTTCTTAAAAACACACACGGGACCCACTCATCTGCTGATGTGGACACCTTTAAGAGCTTAGAAAGTGTACTATTATTATATAGATTTGCACAAAACTAAATTAAATATTGTTTTTATCATATAAATTAAGATATTTAATTTACGGTTTTTGATTCGACATAGAATAAACCAAAATTGAAGATATCCATACTGATCAAATCAAAGTTGACGTGGTTTTAATATATTAGTTTATTTCATAAACCAAAACCCGAACAGAACCAAATCCGAATCAAACATTGTATCTACAGACTACACATCACCAATCTTATAACCTGATCACACATTAGGAGAGTTAGAGCAGGATCAATTGTGGGGGGGGGGGAGGGGGGTTAGGGAGTTGCTTAGGAGGGGGGGGCCACAAAAAGAGGAGAAAAAGGAGAAGCATCGCTGCCAAAAAGCTAGAATAAGCAGCGAAGCTTGTTCTGTTTCACCGGCCTCATGCCACGTGGCGGTCCACGATTGGTTAATTTTTTTTTTTTTTAGAAAAAAACAAAAAAAAGAAAGAAAAAATTAAGCACCCCTGCGTTGATGCTGCCCTTATGCCAATGCATAACCTAAGTATATAAGCATTCAATGTGTCAATTGTAATCATCTTATGCAAGTCATCTCGCGCTCTGTATCTTGAACGTTTCGAATCGCAATTAATCAGTCACTATAGGGGTTTTTATCAAGTGTTTTCTGAAGTAAAAACTTTTCAACCAACGAAAAGTTGGCCTATTAAATTTTGTGGTAACTGTCTAACGGATCATAGATGCGAATCATTCGGAAAAGATTTTTTCTCCTTAAAAAACGGAATTTAAATTGGTTTGGTGTTTGTCTAGGAAGATATACGGATCTACGTGTCACAACCTCTCATTCATACCAAAATTCAAGTAATCTTTTATGCTCGTAGTGGATACAGCATATCAATATTTAGATCAAGAAGTTCGATCCATGCCAATCTCTTTGGACATCGACACGAAAATAACCAAGCAGAAAGATATTCTAACTAAATACTAGTTTGTTTGTCTCATCATCTCTGCTTGGGTAGGAAGTCTATGTGCTTCCATGTCAGTGCGGTGATGAGAGGTGTGTAGCAGCAGTTCGTCGTCGTTCCTGGGTGTCTAGGATTGGCGTGCTCTGTTTTGTTGCTTCCTAAAGAGCTCTGGAGGTTTCATTACTCAGAGGCAAGCTTAGCTCGGATTGTCGGTGTGTGTCGGAGCTCGTTGTGTTTGGCGTGTGGAGGTAGCAGAGCTGCGGTGTCGATGGAAGTCGTCTATGGCTTCCCCGATGCGGTTCTGTCTCGTCCCTCTTGATCTCTCTTCCTCTTCCCGGCGAGTTGTTTTCAGTACTTCAAGAGAGCCTTGTCGACTCGTTCTCTCTGATGTGTTGCTCTGTTTCGTTTGTGGTGGTTGGTATCGTTCCACCGATACTTCCTTTGACGTTCAAGCTCTCCTTTCTCTTGTTCTAGGAGGAGGCGGTTGACGTGGAATGTGTAGGCTTTTCCTGTCTGAGAAGTCTTACTTCCTCGGTGGATCATCCGATAATGCAGCATATCCCAGTGCTATGTGTTATGTTCGACCATGGAGTGTTGCATTGTATTTGCTTGCAGGTATATGGAGCAAGTTCTGCTTCAACTTTCAGCGATCGTCCCGTATCCGTCTTTCTGCATCTCTATCCTACGGTTTGAAGGCTTCGGTCTCCTCCCTTTGGGTAGCTTGGTGCAGTAGGAGGTTGTGCAGTTGGGTTGGAGCGATTTTCAACGGTTTGTGTTCCTTACCCCCCTTCTATGGCATTTGTGTGATCATCGACAGAGACGATTGCAAGGTCTGAGGAGTTCATTGGGAACTAGCTACTCTGAAGACGACAAGGATAGTCCCGACATCCGAGGCAACGAGGAGAACCTCACCTATTCATGATCATCGTCGAAAGTTGAGAGCAGTTACTGATTCTCGGGAATATTAAAAACAAATTAGCGGAATGTGCCGGGTTTAGTGGGTGGGCGAAGCTACTTTTAGTTATAAATTGACTCGGGAGCTTTTGTTCAAATCGGCCTTGTAATCGAAACTTGTATTCCCGTTTCAGGTTGTTTCTAATTTAATTTAAAAAAAAATAAAATAAAATACTAGTTTATCAAAATTCGTCTTTTACTTCTTATTTTATTTTATGTATCAAGTTTCCTTAATCATATCAATATTCGTTCTTTTGGTTACCACTTACCACTGAAAGCCATAAGAGAGATGCAACGAACAGTACCATTATTCCCTTTAGCCGCCCGATGATAAATATCAGGAGCGTCAAAATAGTTGTGCTTAAGAATCGGACGGTCAAGATTACGAAGGTGTATGTAACGCGTAATGTAGCAGAACGTTACACCGACGCATCTACTATGATTAAAAGCCCTTATTAAAGGGATATGAGGCTGTCCACGTCCTCTTTTTTAATCAACCAATAAGATTGTTTCAATTTGCCATGTCAGATCTAATTGGGTCATCCGGGTGGACTTTCTTTTTTCTGGGCTTGAGAATGTTTTGTATTGAGCCCAAACTGAGTCCAGTAATGAGACGAAATTAAGTCAAGTTTGCCTCTTCTCTATGCCTCTCAACTTCTCGATTCGTCTTCTTCGTAGCTCTTTGTCTCCTCTCTTCTTCGTCAAACCTTTTTTTCTTCTTCCTGTCCTAACTTTCCATTTAGATTTTGAGTCAGTGAGTATAATCTTCTTACAATCTCCGGTACCCTTCCTCCTCTGCAATCAATTAGGCTTTAATTCTGTCTTCATGATTTCCTTTCGCTTTGATTACAGGATGGTTGCAGTTGCTGGTTTGATTTGCGGTGTAAGGATTTCCAGTTCACCATTGACGTTGGGACAGAACCTGTTTCATCTCTTTGTTTCAACACAGGTTCTGTCTCTCTTTCTTTTTTGGCACTCTCTCAATTTTATTTCTTTGTTTTGATTGTTGATTATATATATTTTATTTTGTTGATTTAGGTAACAAGACATTCTATAGGCTTCTCATGGAAACGAAATCATGTATTTCGATGTTTATATGGTAAAAGAAAAATCCGAACTTTGATAAAACTATGATCATTAATCTTCATTAAGTTTTAAAAAGGCTTCTCTCTGTTTCTGCGTTGTCATAGCTAAGTGCTGGTTCTTGGAAGCCATTAGACAGTTACAGTTACAACAAAGAAAAAGTAAACCAGGTAGAGAAATCTGGAAGTTCATCAAATTTCTACAAATCGATGTTAATATATTTTGGATTTCTTGATTATTTTTAGGTGATATGCAATGGAAGATCATCTTTTCTTGCTTCTGCAGATGATTCTGGTGATATCAAGGTACCTCAATGGTTGTTCTTATTACTTAAAAGCTTACATAAACTCAAGTTTTCTTGCAATTTTCTCGGTTTGATTAGTTTGATTAAACACAGATTATCGACATTTGTCAGAAGTGTCTTTATAAAACCCTTGAGCTGGTCATACAAGCGTGTCCTTTAAAGCCGTTGTTTCCTTTTCCTCGCTTCTGTGAAAAAAAAAACTCAAGTGACACCTTAATGTATAACATTAAAGATATGCAGTTCATTCCATGGAGACCTTGGGAAGGTAAGGAACTATTGCTTACTTTGTTATTATATATCTCTTCAAGGTCTCTAAAGTGTTTACTTTCTTTCAGTTATCACCGGTGGACTGATGCAAAGCTTGTTTTATGGGATTTCTCAAAAGGTCGCTCGCAAAAGATCATAGACTTCGATAATAAGCCTAAGGTGTTGATGCTTGCTCCTTAGCCATTTTTAATCTGATCATTTGCTGTTAATCTTTCTGGCTCTGATACACAGCGTAGTAGCTCAGAACAAAGTTTAAACCCTGCGTTTATTGGAGCCATCAAAGATATAGTGACAGACCCGTCTACACACATCAACGTAGTTCAAGAGTGGCAGAGTGCAATCTTTTATCATCGACGGTTTCTCAGGAGGACATTGAAAGAGAATCAAAGAACAAGCCTAAACCTGAGGAAACCGGAGGAATGATGAGAAGAACATCAAGACATGCATCAGAGAAAGTCCAATCATACAGAGAAGTTTCACTTAAAGTGCCTATTCTGCTAGGTTGATGGTTTCCGTTTTGATCTCATGGGTCATATAATGAAAGATACAATGGTAAGCCTTTCCTATAGTGTCGTTTTCAGTTATGGTTTCATTAGGTTATTGTGATATTACAAAACGTTTTAATGTGAGTAGTAATATCCATGTTCCTAAGGTAAAAGCAAAATCCGCAATTGGTAACTTGAGAAAGGAAACAGATGGAGTTAATGGTTCAAGAATTTATTTGTAAGTCTTGGCTCATATTTCTTATAAATCACTTCTCGCCCATATCATCTTTCTGCTATTCTTTATCAGATATGGCGAAGCACATATTCTTGAACATGCAGAGCAATCTGCTGAAAATCAGAAACTGAAGGTGACAAGCAATATAAGTGTCTTTAATAAAAAACTAATCCGCTGTTTTAAAGCGTAGCTTGCTAAAACGTTTTTTGATCTATTACAGACTGGAGAGAATTATGTTAAAGAACAAAAAAAGACCTGAAAGGTGAATATATCCTTCAAACTTCTCAGGTAGTTTGTATAGCTGTGTACAATAAGTTCCTTTCATTGTGTATGATTATAAGTTCCACTCATAGATTACTTGGAGGTGGCTGCGTCTATGTTCAATCAGTTGGAGACCAGAAAATATCTTCGATTAAGAACCAGCTCGCATCCCTGAGTGTTAAAGATGCTCCCATCATCGCATTCTACAACCCTAAGAGAGGTGACAACTCCAGAAACTGTGCAATGGTAATTTCGAGCCCACCTTCTTAGTTTATGTGCTTTGTTTGCTTATGTTTTATCATTTGATTAATACATATTTTCAGATTGTGGATACACCACAAACAGCTGTTGAGATGATAAATTTAAAGTGTTCTACAATGATTATGGAAACCAATAATAGTCCCCTGCAACGCAATCCGACCAGTAGACTTTTTGATGTGATCAGCACCAGGGCTTGCTCATCTCCGCAGACTTGCCTACATTAAGGCTCAGAAGACTTTGGTCCTGATTCCTGAAGCATGGGAGTGTCTGCATCCAGTAACGTTAGGTAGTGGTAAAGAGTTCAAAGCAGTGATAGAAAAAAGAGACACATCTGAGGCAAAGTCAAAAGGCCAAGGCATTGGAACTGAGTTTGCTACACTCTCATCGCAGTCGACGATGAGATCTCGGTAAATATTGCAGTGCTTCTGGTATTTTTTTTTCATCTCTATTGTATTAGGAGTACCTTCCAGATATGTTTAGAACTGTTATCGCAGGGTTTATCTTCTCCTGATATTTGATGTTGAAGCTGAACTATCTTTGTTTACGTGTTGGGCTTTATTATTTTGTTTTGGAACTCTTAGTAACTTGAGAGGTTATTCAACTGTAATAAATAAAATAATATAAAGATAGCAGTTTGACTTGGCTCTTGTGCTAGGCTTTGAGGTATAAAACCTAGGAACTGGAAAGGAACAAGGGTGTTTGAGATGCTTCATGCATTTGCAAAAACTTAAGGAATGGTAACATCACTTCTCTGTAATCTCTTTCACTCTCTCTATTTACGCACAAATTTTAGAGTGTATTTCTTTTGTTCTTTTGCATCACTTGCTCTAACTATTTTAAAATCATGTGTAGAGAAAATTCCAGTAAATGTTGGAAGAAGACTAATTGATGCAGAGACGCTGTACGCATCAACCTAAAAAGCTGAAAGTGAACGCAAGTCTAAGTATGTAAAGGCTTAAGAATGTTTATTTTATTAATTGTCAAGTGGCGTCTTTAATTTCAGATAGTATCTGAGCCGGAAGAAACTAAAAATGTTTGTACATGACAAACTATGGAACAAAAGAGATGTGTAGGAACATGAAACTGGGATAGCAACAGTCCTCCGGTTACGGTTCTCCACCATTCACAACATAACAGAAAAGGCTAAATCCAACTCCCATCTTTTGCTTAAGCTTTGAAAACAGACTTATCTCCCATATATTTAATGCGGCAAAAATTTTATTTTCAAAACTTAAAAACAAATCTAACCTAACACTGTATATTTGCCAGCCATAATCTAAGTTCAAGTGGCATTCGCTATTTTAACTTATCATATTCTTTTGTCGAGTGATTTACATCAAAACAACAAATTTAGCAACACCAACAAAAAAATAAAGGACTGAAGAATTAAGAAAACTGGAGTGATGATCAATTAGAAAAGGACTAGAAATGAATAAATGATGTCTGGAATGATTTTTGTTTATAGTGTGGATTGTTGTCTCTCAAGTGTATTTTGTCGTGAGTTTTGTCAAGCTTCAATTATTTGTTTGTTGAGAGCTGCTTTTGTGATAACGAAAAATGAGTATAGACTATACATATATCATTTGGTAGAGTCAAATTGCTAATTATATTTTTTTTTTTGAAAAAGAAGCAACAATTTTATTTGTTTTCAATCAAGGATTGAGAAAAAAGGAAAGTTAATGATAAAAACAAATCTCATGGACATTTTTGTTAAATAAAAAAACATATTGGACTGAAAACAAAACATGGTTTATATGCTAAGAATACCAAGCAACAAATGTATTATTTGGATACTGAAAAGACAAATATTAAGTTTTAATAATCTAAAATTAAATTGACAATTTAGCTTGCAATGGTTTATTGGCTTTAATGAATTCAATATCGAAACACAATCAAAATCTAATCAGGCACACAACAGTATGCATCTGTTTGTTTTAAAAAAAATTCTGAGTCTAATACTAAATAGTTATCATCGCAGTAAATCATAACGTCATGTTCATAAACAATAGGACATACTAAATTAAATCTCATGATATTGCAATCATGGCATCATACGACCTCAGCAACAAATGTCAATGCGTACACTAAGGGAATGATTAGTTTTTCTATTACCACCTATGAACACAGTTTTTGCTCGGTTGGTAGCGGTTGTTTGTGTTTTACAATAATCATAGTGAACACTATAAATCGCTTCAGATCTCTTTAAACTTTTAAAATTCAAAAGTTGATTCCAGCTAGCGGTTACGCTTATGGAAAGATAAAACAATCTTTTTTCAAAAAACTGCACAATATGAAAACATTTAGTTAAAATTTTAATGAAATAATAGAAATACCCAAATTATATTATATTTCCATATATCTTATATAAAATTAAAACTAAATATTTTTATAACTTTTTCAAAAATAAATTATATAATTTAAATATTTTTTATAATATATAATATAAATATTATTAATTTATTATTTAACGACTGGTACATTTGGTAGTTAATCAGCCATAAATATCCCACAAACGTACCAATTTCTAACTGTTATACCTACTGTACAAATATTTTAATAATGATTAAAATTGTAATCATCCTATCTGCAAACGCCTGTAACCGCATCCACAATCGTTGTGATTACACCAATCATGTCCTAATAATGGTTTTGATTTAGATCAGATAAAAAAGTTTACAATTTACTTTTCTATTTCCTATTATATGATGTTTTGGTCACGTGCATAAGAATTAAGAAACATTTTTAAATAGTATCACTAATATAAATCTAAGCTAATCAAACATAAATAATAAATATAATATTATTGATCAAATAATTTGCAAGAAAAAAAGACAAAAAATTAAAGTATTAAAACATCTTATATTTTCAAACAAAAATCTTTTGTAAAACATATACATTATGAAACAAATAAAATATTTAAATTTTATGCATAAAACAAAAGGAAAATAGAATACTTCCATGTGTTTCATTTTAGGTTCTTGCACACAGATTAAGAAAACATATAATTTTGAATATTTTCAAAACATAAACACCATTACCTATACATCTAACCACATTTCAACCAATAGAAAAATAGAACAACATGCAAAGTTAATGAATTATGCATTGAAATCATAAAACGGATGGAGTATTAAATAAAATTAATATTTATAAATTAAAAAATTAGAAAAATAAATAAACTTTTAACATGTAATCCGCGCGTTGCGCGGAAATCTAGTAAAACTAAAAAAGTAAAAAAATCCACGCGTGATACTTCTTTATTCTTATATATAAATGCAAAGACAGATGTATGTTCCTCTATAGTTACGTGTTCCATTTTCATTTCTCTCTCTCTCATCTCTCGATAACGAAAGGTTTCGATTTCTCAATTCTTATCGATTAAGAACAAATCTTATCGATTTACGATTACCTTTCTTCCGATTGATCTTAATTCATTTTCTGAATCTGAATATAAAATTCTTTGGAAGGAGGAAGAAATCTCAGGTTCTAACAGGTTAGAATCTACCATCTTGATTGATTATTGGTTTTATTTGATTTTCTTGTCGGATCTGTAACAGAACCTTGTTTTTCATTAAGGATTTGTGTCTCAGAATCTCAGATCTATTTGTTCATCGATGAGTTAGTTATGGGAATTTGATAGATTAATTTGATCTGTTACGAAATGATTTTGATTTTGATTTTTAAAAAAAATTGGTAGATTAAGTGATTGAATTTGAATTTTGTGAATTTTTTTAAACAGGGAGAATGGGTTCTGAACAAAATGATAGCACAAGCTGCACACAATCATCAGAGCCGAAGCTGTGTGCAAACGGATGTGGTTTCTTTGGTTCACCATCAAACATGGATCTGTGTTCGAAATGTTACAGAGACATATGCGCAGAGGAAGCTCAAACAGCTGTTGCAAAAGCTGCTGTTGAGAAATCTTTCAAACCATCACCTCCTCCTACCCTCTTCATAGCAGAGCCTGATGTGGCCAAGCCATCTCAACCAGAGAAAGTTGTAGCTGTTCCTGTTGTTGCCGAGCCATCTGAAGCTACAGTTCCTGAACAGAACGAACCATCTAAACTTGCACGACCGAACCGGTGTCTATGTTGCAACAAGAAGGTTGGGATACTTGGGTTTAAATGCAAATGCGGGAGCACTTTCTGTGGGGAACATCGGTACCCTGAGAGACATGATTGCAGCTTTGATTTCAAAGAAGCTGGGCGTGGAGAGATTGCAAAAGCCAATCCGGTTATTAAGGCTGATAAAGTTCAAAGGTTCTGAAACTTTTATGTTTGGTGTTGGTCTCTTTTATTTGAACTCAGAATTGTATTTGAACTGGAATTGGGTTTTTTAATAGATTGTTTTCAAAGGGGGGTAAGATGATGAATTTGATTCTATAATAAACTGGATCTATCGAGTTTGGTTATCTTTGTCTCAATCATCTCTAATGTTTGAATTTATTTGTTTAAAAGCTAGTGGTCAGACCATGGTTCTGTTTCAAGATTATTCAGGTACGGATTATAATCTTGAGAGGAACTTGCCGAACCAATTTGTCAAATCATACTTTGGTCAAGTTGGACTTTGATTAGAGAATCAGTTGAAATAGTTGTGTCAATACAAAATTTAGAGTATTATAAAGTATTGACAAATCAACTATGTTTTATTTAAGAAAACAATTGATAGATAATGACATGTTGAAAAGAAAAAGAAAAGATAATGACATGTTAAATTAGTAAGATGTTAATCTTATCTACAACTCTTGTGTTTCTTTGTCATATAAAATTTTGTTGCATATAGGATAAGAATTAGATAGTACTAGTTCCAACTAATCTGATGTGTTGTGTCGGGGATCAGATTGTCAGGTAGTACACCTGTGAATGTTGTTGATAAACGTCTATTTTATCATATTTATTAGCAATTGTGATGCAATTTGCTTCAATCATGGACTTGTGGTCGTCTGCAAATTTACTGTATTCCTCAACAACTTTTTTCGAGTTGTTATGAGACGCCAGACGTGTCACGTAAAATACTTATTTATCATTTGTGTTTGATATAGTTTGGTAGAACTTGACATAAGAATTCAAGCTTGTTTGACCAAAAAAAAAAAGAATTCAAGCTTGATTTATTGGGTCAACATTATCATTCGGCCCATATCATCCTGCAAATTTTGGCTAAATAGATATTTATGGGCCTTGTCTTAAAGCCGACATGTATATCTTTTTCTTCACTGCATCAAGAAATCAAAACCCAATATTTGTTGTACTCAACACAAAGGAAAAGCCAAGTAGGACAGTAATACATCACAATAGCCATCAACTTGACAAGTTGATAAGCATTGGGATTCCTCCTTTTAAACCGGAACGAGGGTTAAATAATTTTATATACGTTTTACCGTATTCGCAAAACCACATTAGATCAAACGTTTGATTACAATTTTTGTTTGACTACAAAACTAATAAGTATATATTTCGCTATAGTAAGCAACAAAAACTTATTAGTAACAAGCTTTTAGAAGTTAAGTGGTTCATGAAAATGTTATGCTAAATATTAAACATATGTTTAACTACTTCCATACCTTAAGAAATTGTATATAAACCATGCCACACCGCACACGGGCAATGTCGTTATTAATATGTACCTACTTTTTGAGAAAGGATTATATAGATAGTTAGATACAATTTTCGTTTTATATGTTCTCAATGACTTCGTTAGTTCCCTTTTGATAATGACCTTCTTATTTTTAATCTTTTTATGTATTATATTATAAAAAATGATTGATTAGCTACTTAGTATAGTATATCTGCATAATTACACTATAGACACATGAATATATTATGGCATAGTTTACTTTGTATGCATAAACAACATGAGTCTGTAGCTGGTAGTCCCGAAAGAACATGGTATTCAGCAGCAAGCGCACGTGTGAGACAGCAGTTGAACAAATGTTTTGTCTCCTTATCCACATATATGTAAGTATATACACACACCGAAAGATCTATTGATTGATGCTCATATGTAAGCATATAAGTTTATGTATGAAGCGAGAACATGCATATAAAGCTCCCATACCTCTTTACTTTTCTCGTAAATTGTTAGCTTCCGTTTAAGCCGCCGGTATTGCAGCTTTTTTTTTCTTATATATAAGACTATACATATGCATAATGGCAATGCATGCTCATTGCTCAATACACGCAGTTAAATAACAGAATGTATCAAAGCGTCGTTTATGGGCGTTATGTTTTTCTTTTGACACAGTATGTGTGCTATGTTTATTATATACAAATGATTGCTAAAATATGTAATGTTTATGTAAATCTTCTTCATTACATACATTTGTGATTTTAGTTCATCATCAACAAAACATATACTCCGACAACGACATGTGTAAGTACATACCATTATCACGTAATGATGACTAGTTAAGGTGATTATGATCCACATATAGGCTTATTATTGACTAAAATGTAAATATCCGTACGTAATGATTAAGGAGGAGATGAAAACCTCTCATTACGAAATGTTTTTACTTATAAAATTACTTATATTTTCGTCCTACCAATAATAACTGTCAACATGATAAGCCTGTTTGGCTCCTCGCCGAGTATATAACTCACATCCAAATATCATACTAGTGCCTTCCTAGTTTAGGATACGTCCTTGAACTTTCTAGTTAATTCAGTAGAAATTGTGTAATACTACGGTACGTACATTCTATTGACGTATATTGAAACAGTCCGAGTTATACAAAAGAATGTGCTAATATAGTTATGTTATTATGCATATAGATTAATGTTAATTAACATATATATTCTAAGTTACTATGTAGCTAAATAATGTGTTTTTATGTAAACTCTAAGCCTCGACAAAATTAATGTGAAACTCTGTAACAGCACCCTTATCCAAAGCTCAAACTTAAAGCAATGACAATCACTAACAATTATGTCATAAACTGTAAATTCGTTCTTCAGTATCCAAATAGTTCCATATTAAGAATATGTTCCGAACTATAGAATTTGTAGAAAAACACCATAAAATTAATGTTGATAAGAAAAAAACCATACTCAGAGCGAACACCACAAAGTATAAATGAAAACTACCAATCGAAATTCAACAAACAAAAACACAAGAAACAAAGAAAAATGTTATTCAAATCAGCATAGAAAGATCTATGAACTAAAACGAACCAAGAAAAAAAAAAGAGAAATAACAAAACCTGATTCATCTTATGAATGTCGACCCAAATATAGTGAATCTCGATCGAATCCTTATCCACCACCTCATCGTCCTCGACTAAGTTCATCATCTTATTTGTTCATAAACTCGTGATTCTTCGTTAGCTAGCTATATTATATACATATAACTAGCTACGATATGATGAGAGATGTGTATATGATCAAAACGATGGTCTCCCCGTTGACCAATAAGGCTGATTATCATGCTGTGGTAATCCTTGATGAGCCGAGCCAAGAAGATTAGGTGGTAACCCTTGATGAGCCGACATAGCTTGTTGCTGATGTGGCAGTTGTCCTCCCATCATCGGTGGAGACTCCATCGATCCTCCTCCTCCACCTCCGCCTCCGTGAACCGGCGTTTGCATCTCATCTTCCTCTAAAGGAAGCCTCTCATAAGCCGCATTGCTAAAAGAAGCTGCCATAACCACAACAGGACCAGCACATAGCAAAGGACCCACCACGCTTCCTCCAACAACCTGTCCTTGTCCTCCAGCGAGGTAAACGCTCAAACCGGTGGCGTTAGGAGGAGCCGGAGGAGGTAAGAAAGAGCCTGAGAGAGAGAGAATCTCGAACCTTCCGTGAAGGCTAACGACCGAGCCAGGAGATGGAGAACCAGGCTGACGTATAGTGACGTTCGTGACGTTTCCAGTACCACTCATAACGCAGACGCCGCGTTGGCGTCTGCGTGCGAAAGTGGCCACGCTATCGACTAAATCGCAGCCGTCACCAATCTCCATCACGTGGGTTCTAAGCGCGTTTGCGCTGTCCCGCGTGATGATAATTGGCGGTTTTGGTTTGTTCTTGGATCCAGCTGGTCTTCCTCTTGGTCTTCTTGTCATCTGATCTCCTCCTGAGCCGCCACCGCCACCACCGCTTCCTCCTTCTCCTAAGTTGTCTTTGCCTTCGCTGCCACTGTTGTTACCGATGTTGTCTATGTTGTCGCTTGTCTCTTCACGGTCCATCTTGATTTGTCTGTTTATTCCACCTCCTTGTTGATCATCTTGGTCGGTTTGGTTTCTTTGTTGCTGGTGGTGATGGAGGAAGAACTCTTGTTGTTGCTGTTGTTGTTGTTGTTGTTGGAGATGTAACTGAAAGTCTCTTGAGTGGAAAGGAGGAGGGAGTGAGCTTTGTGTTCCATCCATGATGTATGATTCGATGGTGTGAATTGGATCAAAAGAAAGAAAGAGACTGATGGATCTAAGAGCTCAGATCTTTAAGTTGACCTTTTTTTTTCTTGTTTTGTTGTCGAAGCTACCAAGAAGAGAGTAGTAATGATGAACAACTAAATCCAAGCTGGATCTTCTTCATCTCATCTCTTCTTCCTTTTTTATTTTGTAGGGTTTCTCTATTTCTCTCTCTCTCCCTACTTTTGTTGTAGTAGCTAGCTTCTCTCTCCTTCTTTTTGAGTTGGATGAAGTGAAATTTGGAAACAGAGAAAGGGGTTTTTTATTTAAGCTAATGTGTGCGAGGTAGAGTCTACCCTTGGTTTGTGATTGGTAACCTAGGGTTGAATACATACATGATATTTTGTAATTTTTGTGTTTATATTATGAATTTTGAATGTGACTTCCTTCCTTCTATGTATGGGCAGTGTTTTTGGTCCCCACCTCCTCGCTCGTTCGTACTAAACCTTAATGTTACATCACTTACTAAGTCATTATTAGACCAATAAAATATGATAGAAAAAAATATGCATTCTTTGTATTGTAGACCTTGTGATCCCTTGAACTACATTATGAAACATTGTTTAGACCAGCAGGTAAGCTTGGCAGCTAGTGTTTGTTTTTCAACCATTTATTTCGAAACTGTAACACATATATTATATAACATGACGCATTACATGTTGTATGCAAAAAGAGTCCAATGTTTCAAACTTTTGTATATCAGACAGAAGCAAAGTTGGTATCACACATTTACAAATGTATATATGATAATAATAGTAATATTGAATTTAATTTGTTATACATATACAATGACTACCCCCTCTATATAATAGCATGTTAGCTATATATTTATTATGGCTATCTTATTAGCATGTATATATATACCAACAAACAAACTTACAACTAGCTCATTAATTCAATGATAAGTTCAATAAATATCAATTACTTATGGTTATATGCTGGAATACATCTTTAGCATCTGATTGATTGGTATTGGTAATAAGGTGACGATGATGACAAAGAAAATTAAGATGATGATGAATGTCATTGTGTTGGTGAATATTATTTTATTCCTTTAGACGTCATGGGAGAAAATAGCCACTTTAGTACTTGTCGAGCATCACGGTTATAAGATCTAGCTTTGTGCGTCGATTAGAAACTTGTCTAAATATATAAATCTAGTCTCTACTTATTAGTTGATAGTCAAACGATCTACTTGTCAATACCATTTAAACTGAACGGTGTTTGTTTATAGACATGTGTGAATACTTTGGTTTTA